ATTATGATAATTCAGCGAGTAATTCCGACGGTTTTGCAAAAGCTTGGCGTCTCTGATATTTACTAGACTGTCACAGTTTCCCGGCCCCCCCTAAAATAGTCAGGAGGCCACCAGGGGAACCAGACTGGAGCTTTAATCGTCCACTGAGTGTGCGTCAACTTTGGCAAAGTGCACCCGGGCTGTTGCCTGTCATCAGTGGTCATTCAAAAATCTTTGGATGCACTACGCGGCCGCGGGTGAAGAGTGCACACAAGAGGGGGTGCCTCATAGTCATACTTCCAGAAGGTATTCCTTACAGTTCTGGAAGTAAGCCTACACTGCAGAGAGCTCCAAAGATTTTATTTAATTTTTCATGAAGAAATTATACTTTAAAGGTAGCTTGAGTAACTCCAGCTCTAATGCTTATCGCATTAATATGAAACTCCAGCTCTAATGCTTATCGCATTAGAGCTGGAGTCACAACTACGTGTACATTGTACTTTATAAGAACCGGGTCGTAAGAATCCCGAAATCCCGGACTGTGTATCCCCAGTGCATTACAAAAACGGTCCATTTTCCCTATATTATCCCAACCCAGATTCCATAATTCATATCTCACACGATGCAGCAGACATTCATGAAGCTAATAATCGACTTCAAACAGAACAACGACGATTTTTGTAATGCACTGGGGATATATAGTCCGGGATTTCGGGATTCTTACGACCCGGTTCTTGTAACGTAGTGACTCCAGCTCTAATGCGATAGGCATTAGAGCTGGAGTTACTCAAGCTACTCTAAAGGAAAGATTCCCATATCTGGCTATCACTTATTTTTCCCTTTAGTGACTTATCAACCATTAGAAAGTGATAATATGTCCTAAGAGGCACATTTAGCTGGGAAAATATTGAAGAATTTACTGAAAAAACAGATCGTTTTCAGATCAGTCTCATAGGGTTTGTGCACAGGGTGACCAGTGATGGCCAGATATGGGAATCTTTTCAAACAGTGACGTACGTGGAAAAGAATGTTGCAACCTGACGCTGCTTTTTTCTTCATAAATCATCTCAATGAAGGTCATTCATTGCAAAATGATGATAAGACAAGAATCTGGGACTGAGAAACATTGCCAATTTTGCTAGGAAATACTAAGAAAATGTTCTTGGCTCTCCATTAGTCCGAGTAACCTGGACCAAACTTATCGCCTTTTTAAACATTCCGACATGGTCTGGCGATAGTAGGGTCCAAGCTAATCCGTATATGCAACACAATTTTTTCCTTGACCCAAAAACCCAACATTTTCCAACAAAAACATCAGATTTCACCCTCAAAATGGCCTACAAATATGCCACCTGAGATACAAGTAGACATCGATGATTAAGATGGTTGTACTGTACTTACGATCCGGATGAAAAGTGAAATTCCCCGTTCAATTCCGAGAGCTCCCCTCGCGATCGTGAACTCATTAAATGTCCGACACTGTTAATGTTTGAACGACGCAATGTAGTCTTCATGCCCAGCGTACATTCGATGGTCCCCGTATCCCAAGTGCGATTCCATTAACGATTATAATAAGTAGACTGGATCTCGTTTGTAAACACAAGTACATTTCGAACGATAATAGGGAGTCAAGAACCAGGGTTGCTTTTATGGGCGGAAACCAGTTCAAGCTAGTTCCCGACTCCCTTTGACCGATCGAAATGCACTTGTGTTTACAAACGAGAACCAGTCTACTCATTATCATAATCGATGTCATAAGTTTTAAAATCCCACATCAAAAACTGTCTTCGTTGACTGGAACGATAAGAATAACAATATCATTGGGATCTACATTTAATAGGTAAATATGTATAAAATCTAAATGTAAATATGTAAATTTAAGCCCTTGAATAAATATAGAAAATAGGATATTGAAAATAATCTTGAAATTATGAGAAGTGTATTGGCATTGAAAAAAAGAAAGGAAAAAGAAAGAAAATTTGTTTGCAAAGCTCAGGAAATATATTTTTCTAAAGCCAACAATTCTAAGTTATTAAACAAGTCAGGTGTGTTTACAAACACAAATGCCCCGCAACCGTGACTGTTCCCATGACATAACACCACTCTTTTAACATGTGTACCTTGGTCACATGGAACGTTCATTGACAGCATTAGTGTCTTCTGTAGGTTTTATACGAATTAATCCCTAATCCCTATGATCTCAGAATAAATACAAGATTTCTATTGTTTTAGCCACTGTGACCTTGACCCTTGACCTTTTGACCCCCAATGCGATAGGCCTATTTGGATTACCAAGAACAATCCACAAACCAAATTTGAAGTTCACATGTAAAGTATTTCTTAAGTTATCGCGCTGACAAGATTTCTTTTGTTTTAGCCACTGTGACCTTGACCCTTGACCTTTTGGCCCCAAATGCAATAGGCTTCTTAGGATTGCCACGAGGACAATCCACAAACCAAATTTGAAGTTCGTATTTAAAGTATTTCTCAAGTTATCGCGCTGACAAAATTTCTATTGCTTCAGCCACTTTGACCTTGACCTGTCGGCCCCAAATGCGATAGGCTTCTTAGGATTACCAAGAACAATACACAAACCAAATTTAAAGTAAAGTATTTCTCAAGTTATCGCGCTGACGTCTTAAGAAGCACCGTTGGCAATTTCCGTTAGTAGTTCGTTTTTTTTATTCGGCGAAGCGCGCGCAAACGTTGACACATCGCACATGCGTGCACAGTTGCTATAAAGTATAATTCGTCGGATCGGTGCGCGACATTGCGTAGCTGCAATCGGCTAGTGAGAACGTGTCTCGGACGCTGAATTCAGGCCCAATTCAAAACATGATTCAGCAACTTTTGATTTGAAATTGAGATCCTAGAATGTTGTTTTTCTTGAAAAATACAGCTGAAGCTGAGCTGAAACTTCATCAGGTTACTTGTTCAGCACCCTGCTTTAGATTTTGAGCACTTTTGTTGCTTCAAACGAACAAAATGCACAAATTACAAATGATGGACATAGACTATGTCTTTAAGCTACTTGGTTGCAAAGCCTTTATCTGCGCAGAAATAGGAGGATCGAGGATACACAACCGCTGCAGTAGCGTCAGGTTGGGTACAACTATAGAATGCAGGGCCACTACACTCTACATCCGCGCCTCCGTACAGCTGTGTGGAGGCGTGGAGCCGCAGTCGACCTACCTCCGAGAATTGCGCCCTCTATCGGCGCGCGTCTCTGTGACTCCGCGCCTCTAGTGCCCCGTCGCCCTCCCTTCCTTTGCGAAGAAATAAAAAATGGATATGGATGCTTCGTTCTAAAAAAAATACCGCCGAGAATTGCGCCCTCTATCGGCGCGCGTCTCTGCGACTCCGCAACTCCAGTGCTCCGTCGCCCTCCCTTCCTTTGCGAGGAAATTAAAAATGGATATGGATGATTCGTTCTCAAAAAAATACCGCCGAGAATTGCGCCCTCTATCGGCGCGCGTCTCTGCGACTCCGCGACTCCAGTGCCCCGTCGCCCTCCCTTCCTTTGAGAGGAAATTAAAAATGGATATGGATGCTTCGTTCTCAAAAAAATACTGCCGAGAATTGCGCCCTCTATCGGCGCGCATCTCCGCGACTCCGTGCCCCGACACATTTACAAGCGCGCCCTCCCTTCCGATCCTTGATGAGAAGACAAGTGCATTCGCTGTACTTAGCACTTTTTGCAGGTTTGCATATTATTATTATATTGTAGCTTACTCCTATCTAGCCCCACTAGTGTGGCCGCGGTATGCTGCGCTGAACCTCTCAGTGCAGCATACCGCGGCCATGTTGTGCCCATTTTTGAAAATCACGCAATCTTAAGAATGTGCGCGCATTCTTAAGAATGAGCGCCCATTCTTAAGAACGAGCACGCAATCTTAAGAATGAGCGCTCATTCTTAAGATTGGGTGGGAATATCACGTGCACAATTTATGAATTTTGCCCAATCTTAACAAACATTGCACGACATAATTATGTTAAATGAAATGTATAGGGGTTAAAAGGGAAACAATTTATATAAAGAGGACAGAAAATGTTCTATGCTTCTGTACTCGTATAACTACGATAATTTGAATCAAATTAAACCTATTGCTTTTTTCTGCCCACTATGGGAAGTTTTGTAATAACGGAGGACTGGGAACTAGTCTGGGAAGTGCTTTGTTTAGGCTAGACAAGTTACAAGTCCCTGTATGTATCATATGCATGCCACGAAAAAAAAACGATGTCCAGAAGCTGCCAAATTTGCTCTTTTGACTAGATAGAATCCAGCTCTGCGACGTAATGGTGGGGTGTGAACAATAAATTAGTGGCAATTTAAATGGGAAATAGCATTAGCACTATGGGATGTCGCAGTATTCATTCTCATTCTTCACATTCTTCATTCTTACGTCCCCCCCCCCCCCCCCCCCCCCCCCGCTTTTATTATCCCAAAAATCAGAATTCTTTCCACTAGTATTATTATGTCTCTTATTTTTTCCCGGTCCCCCCCCCCCCCATATCAATACGCCTATACTTATCATATCCACTCTACTTTTCAGCGCCTTGCGTTGCAACAGTATAATTATTGAGAATCAGTGAAAGAGGATGCAGCTAGACTTGCCAAGCGCAGCCGGTGCTCGGCATCGACAAGACCGTTATCTTGTCACGCATTCTTAAGAATGTGCGCTCAATCTGGAAGAGTTATTTTTTGCGAAGATTGCGCAAGGATCCAGTTGCACATTCTTAAGAATGTGCATGCACATTCTTAAGAATGCGTGATTTTCAAGAATGGGCACAACAGCCACACTCAGCGCAGCATACCGCGGCCACACTAGTGGGGCTAACTCCTATCCTCACATCGCCGGCCTCGATCCACGCGCCACGCCTCCAAGCAGAAAAAAAACCCTGCTCCGGCGTGGCCCTGCATTCTACATGTTCTATAGTTGCTCCTCAAGTTGCAATATTCTTTCCCGTACGAGTATGGAAAACTTTCCATTTTTACAAGATTACCAAAAGTTGTATATTACCTTCAACTATACTACGGCGGAGGTTCCATTTGACGACAGATACCGTCCTCAGCTAGCTCCGAACAGCACTAGCACTTAGTCAAGCTTGTGAGTCGCCGGTGCGGTCCACATGTACGTGTATACATACTGTACGTGTGTTAATTGCGCGCGCCGCTCATAGATAAAAAGCGCCCTCAGTCGACACCTTGACACATGCACAGCTACAGCATTAAGCAGTACGGAGTAGGACATGTAGGAGACTGTAATGCACAGCATCCCTGACCCTGAAAGGGGGACTGTTTTCATCATTTTTTTGCACCATCGGGATCGACTCAACCCTTATAGTACTTTAAGCGGACTGAACGTGAGTATGTCAGGAAGTACTGGGCATAGTCTTGGGGTGCAAGTATCCTCGACGATAGCCCCATAAATGTGGCCTATTTACTGGACTGCCTCCGTAAACATAGGCCACACATCCACATGTACAAAAACGTGTCGACTTTGCCAAATTTTGATTTTCACATTTAGGCTTACTTTGTAGGTTTCTTTTGCTTTAGGCCAAAAAAAAGAATATTTCTGCTTCCGGTTACCCGACCGACCCTATTTTTAGGCTGCGACCCTAAAAATTTTATCGGCAATTCCAAAAAAAAAAAAAAAAAAAAAAAAAATATTGAATAAATAAAAATAAAATCTTTTTGTCTTTTTGTCTTCACAAAATACCTCTCAACAAACCTTTTGCATAAAAAAATGCTTGTATTTATTTGTTTTCTTACTTACATTCGCTTTTTTTCAAAAGAAACCTCCGTTATTTTTACAAATTCGCTTCACGATATTAAACTACTTCGCAATTCGATGTCACGGTGACTATAATCACGTGGCGACGACTGGTTCCCGCCGCGCCGCGCAGGGGCCAATTTAAAAGACATGATGAAAATGCGGTAACCAGTCCCCAGTCCACAGTATGCGACCGATAGCGCACTAGCAGTGCAGGCCACTGTCAACTGGTCGGATTCGACATCGTAAAAATGCCAAGAAAACACCGATGGAGAAAGAACATTTTTGCAAGTTAATTTACAGAATTGATCTAGCTTGTCTGTGTATGTATTTTCTGTGTTCAAGAGTTCATTTTGAGATCGCACTACTCGTATTTGGAGTGATACATGCCGCGTGTTTCCCGAAATTTTTGACCGTCAAAACAGGTCTGTCGGCCCATGGTGGGCCACTCGCCACACATGCAAGCATCACACACCTCGGAGTTTTGGCCAGGTCCCCGCGTCTTGACTAGTGTTGTGCATATGGTGCGAACGACCTGAATTTTCCATTATTTTTTGAAATTATCGAACGTAAATATATTGACAATAATTAAAGGTAGGTTTTATTCACTTTTTGTTGCCATTTCGTGTATAGCTTTCGTAGTGCAATGGAAATAGTTCAGGCTAAAACTTCGCATATATTTGAATACCCCATTCAATCTGCATAAAAAAACTTGGCCAAAAAAAAAAAAATTCCGACCGACCGACCCTATTTTTGAAAGGCATGTAATCGGAAGCAGAACTATTTTTTTTTGGCCTTAGAAGCATTCTCACCCTCTATATAGGCTAATCAGAAAGTGCTGCCTTTTTCAGATGTCCATTTTTCGTGAAATTTCCAGATACATTTGCACACGTTTGCGTATCAAAATTTCAACATGAAATTTCACAAAAATTAGACATCTGAAAAAGGCAGCACTTTCTGATTAGCCTATATAGAGGGTGAGAATGCTTCTAAAGCAAAAAAAACCTACGAAGTTAGCCTAAATGTGAAAATCTAAATTTGGCAAAGTCGACACGTTTTTGTACATGTGGATGGGTGGCCTATGTTTACGGAGGCAGTCCAGTAAATAGGCCACATTTATGGGGCTACCTCGACGAATACAGGTCAACTCGCATGACTCGAGTCATACGCGAGCCAACTCGTACGCAGAACAACTCGTACGCGGGCCAACTCGTACGCGAGCCAACTCGTACGCGAGCCAACTCGTACACGAGCCAACTCGTACGCGGGACAACTCGTACGCGAGCCAACTCGTACGCGTGAGTATAGACGAAGCACCACAAAAAATTACTAACTAAAACTTTTGGTTCAGGCGTGTTCAGTTCAGGTAGGGAGGACGGCACTTTTTGCATTTTTTAAGATTTCACAGACAATTACAACGGTGCTAAAATTAGCTTCGTAGCTTCTTCTGGTGAGGAGTTATCACTATTTTAATGACAATTTCTAGGGGGTAGTTTTCTGTCAGCATTTTTCACTCAGACTCCAAAAACTTTCTAAAGCAATTACTTATGTATTTTCAAAGAAATATAAAATGGATTTGATACGAACAGACAGAGCAGGAACTTCCAAATACAGTGCTTTTTAAATTAGCCTCATACCTGTTTCATAGGTGGAGTTAAAGGGAATATACATCATTTGCTTTTGCTGTAATTTTCAGAAATGGATGGAATTTTGGAAATATAAAGCAAATATAGTTACACTGACTTTTGGAGGTTTTGGGTTCGAAAATGCTATAAAAACCAAGAAAAACGATCATTTTCCTGTAGTCTGGTTCCCTGACTCCATATAAGAAGAAACAGAGCAGTTTACATACATTGGGGAATTGTAAGGTCACGGAACCAGTCTAGCTGGCTCGTACCCGTTCATAGGTTTGTAATCGATTGCAAACAAGTGCAATGGTCAATTGGGCCAGTATTTGAAAAAAAAAGCCAGTTGTTTCCAACGCTGATCGGCCGATCAGCGTTGGAAATTGATACAAAAATACCACTTTTCTTGAAAATGACAGTATACCAGGTGCCATAATTTTACAGGATGCTTTAGACTGTCATTTACCAACATCCTATTAAGGTATTTCGCAAAAACTTGGTAGTTTTATTTTTCGATGTTTGCAAATGTTGTATATTCCCTTTAAAAGCTTTATTAGACCAACCAAATGTTAAGGAGGTTTTGAACCATGGCGATTTCCATTACATGCAACTTACATACATACTGATTTTGATTACTTTATTAATATTTTCATTTCGGTTTGCGGTAACACCATGTGATATTTTATTAATATTTGTTATTAATTTTTATTTTTTTATTAATTTGTTATTAATATGTGGTATTTTATTAATATTTGCAGGTATCCCTCTTACTAAATTCCTTCAGAAGCTGGTAGGAATGAATACTGGCATCACCGACATATAATGTTGAACCAGTCTGGATGAACAATGAGGCAGGCACATGAGCAATTTAACACATACAATGGAGATTTGTCTGACCAAATTGTGGATTCAGTGTTGTAACTTTCAAGTTCTAATGAAAACAAAAGCACAAAATAATTTTATAAACATAAATTGTTAGTTCAACAAATGATTTCACAGACAAGTCAAGCATATAAGTGCACACTTTGCAAGTATGCACAACTCTGTAAGAAATGTTAGGTGCCTATGCATAAAAGGTACTAAATGAAGACCATGCAGTTGTTATCAACGTCAGTGTTAAGGATAAGGCATCCATTTTTCAAGAATACTTGGGTGATGTAATATGAGATTAGCACTGCCAAATGCATGTAGTAAACTACCCTAGTATTTAATACAAAATACATTTTTGTCTACCAAATCTGTAGTCATGTGATTATAGAACTTACATACAATGCAGCCTGTACATGTGCATTAATAAACTTTCATTGATGAACTTGTGTCTTCTCACTTTTTCAATATTATTTTCAACTTTCTTGGCCTGGTTGAATTGACCTGGTTGCACATTATAATGTGCGCATGGCCCAGAACACATTTGACAGGTAGGCCTACCATCAAATTTGACCCCTTTCCTAAAAGCCCTTTGCAGCGTGAGTGCGACATAAAAATGTATTATTTTTAAGGTTCCATTGGCTTTGGAAGACTCCAAAGTTTCCAAAAATCAACCTTACAAGCTCCGTAAACCCCATTTTAATAAGGTTTTCTTGAAGAAAAGCTCAAGTTTTGAACCCAAAAAATCAATTTTTGCTTCGCAATTTTTCACTAAAATTTCATTTTCTTACCTTAAAATTGCACTAAAATCGCCAAGTTTGGTACTATCAGAAAGCTGAATTCATTCTCTGTCCAAATCTCACAACGAAAAACTCCTCACCCCGACCTCTCGCGCGAACAATGAGTAAAAACGAGAACACGATTACGTGTTTAAAAAACAAAATGGTCGCGTCCACGAAAAAAGTCTCTCTCTCAAAATAAAAGTTCAACGATCAAATTTTCCTTCAAATTGTACGTAAGTTTCAAATTAAATGGCATCAATCAAACAAACATGTTTTCTTCATTTTGGTGAGTTTTCTTTGACTTTGGGGCAGTATTTATACTAGAAATCAAAGATTTAAAAAAGAACGTTTTAGTGTGGTGTCAGATTGAAAGGCGAAAAATCGCCCTACCGCTGGTCTCGCTAGTTCAGGTCCCATGGAAAGAGGAAATTCAAATAAGGGTCGGTAGTCCTGCACATTTTTTTTTAAATCAGCTTTTTATTGCTCATAAGTTCATAACAAAAAAGTTGTTATTTTTCATGGACCACTCGCACACTGCACTGTCATGGCTTGTCGGACACTTCGCCCCATTTCCACTTCGCCCAATGTCACTTCGCCCCTAACTACTTCGCCCCATCCCCACTTCGCCCCATCCCCACTTCGCCTCATCCCCACTTCGCCCCATCCCTTCTTCGCCCCATCCCCACTTAGCCGGCACGTCTAAATTGTAGGTCAGGCAGCCTCCGTGGCTAAAAATAAACGTGATGACATATATGGCCCTTTTTCAAAGCTTGGCTTCGTTTCCGATTTCTCTTTATCACTAGTTTTAGCTTTTAATGTTCTGATCAAATTTTAAATAAATCACTTGCTTCGTAATATCATACAGTTATGATAATACAAAAAAATTTAATAGAAAATTATGATGAAATAAACATTAATTTGATGTGTGGCTCGGTCCCTGCGTCTCGAACACCTCAGAGAGTCTGTATTTTTCTGAGTTTCTGAATTGGGAGCATTTATTATCGGGGGTCTTTGGTAGTTCATGACTACATGTAACGGCTGGGACGAAGTGGGGCTCGGGTGAAGTGGGGATGGGGGGAAGTGGGGATGGGGATGGGGCGAAGTGGAAATGGGGCGAAGCGTCCGACACCCCTGTCATGGCCCACGCAGTAGGCTATACGACAAGATAATGCCAGGTAGTGAGAATTTATACCGTATATGTCCGCTGCATTTGTAGACTTCCAACAAAACTCTGCAACTATAGTGCCCCCCGCTATGTGTAAATTGAATAGTTGTATGTCTGGACAAATTCTCCACACTAGCTGCGTGGTTTGACG